ACTATAGTTAATAAGAACTTGAAGAGTTGGGAAGATTGCTTGCCATTAATAGAATTTGCATATAATAGAGCTATGCATTCCACTACTTATACTTCATTTGAAATTGTTCATGATTTTAATTCACTAACATCTTTGGATTTAATTCCCTTAACTGTTGATGAGAGAGGTGGCTCGGAAGGAAAGAAGAAGGCCGAGTTGGTAAGATTCCTCCATGAGAAGGTACGGTGCTAGATTGAGAAGAAAAATGAGCATTATGCTTCTCAAGCAAATAAAGGGCGGAGGAGCATTAAATTTAAACAAGGAGATTGGATTTGGATGCATATGAGAAAGAAACGCTTTACGACTTTTAAAGGAAGTCAAAGTTGTAACCAAGAGGAGGTGGACCATTTTCAAGTGTTTGAAAAGGTTAATGACAATACTTGTAAATCGGATCTTTGAGATGAGCATAATATTTCTGCCACTTTCAATATTTCTGATATTTCCCTGTTTGATGTTGGTAGAGATTGTAACACCCCCAAATTTTCATAAATTTTGAAGCATTACTAAATATTTACTTTTCTTTGTATTAAATATGGAACGATAAAAATGAATTCCTTTAAAAATAAACTACTAAAATATCTATAAATTTAAACTAAATATAGAAAATTGTATCTTTAAAAAAATAAATATGTTCAGCTAATCAATTAAATAACATGACTTTGAAGTTTGAACTTTAAACCAACTAATAAATTCAAAGACAGAAAAAACGTAATATTTTTTTTTTACTTTTTCTTCGATCTACTTGGCAGTTCGCATCATCATCCTGACACAGATTCAATCGACCCAAACTAACCTGTAAAATTATTGTAACAGTGAGAATTAAAAAATACCCAGTATTATACATGCAGTTTCCATACACTGTTGTATATAACAAATAAATAATCACTTCATAGCATTCTTCTCTTATGAAGTATATCGATGACCAAGTGACACATACATATTAGGTCATCTTAAATTCCCATAGGAATTCATCTCTCTTTATGAAGAATCTGAAGATCCACTGACAATTTATGTGTATTTAATTGAATACATAAAAGTATAAGAAAATGAGCCACTTGCACATAAGTATCTTACATTGTCATTGAAATGTTGGAAAGAATTAAATCTTGCACATAAAAATTCTTTGCTATTTTTCTATACTTTATTCTCTCCATTCTCTCTACCATGACTCTCTTTATTTATTTATTTTTTGTTGGTTAAATAATGGAAATTCTTGCAGTATTAATAGTTGAAATTCTCAATTGACTTTGTATGCAACTATAGTGGAAAAACTGTGTAATACAGGGATTTGGATAATAATTGATTTCAAATAATAAAGTTATTAGTAAACTATACTATTGGTTTCCTAATACAATCATCCCATTGAAAATAAGACATGTGGCCAACTTGGACTTGGTTTCAAAAAGAAATTTGAATTGTACTATAATATTGATTTCATATAAATCACGTGTGGTAGAAATTAAAAGAGGAATTTTTTTTTATTTAATTAAAATTGCAAGCTCCCACCAACTCTATTAACCTACTATTCTTTAACTTAGTATATTCTAATCCAAAATAACGTTTATCATATTGAAGACTTCTAATTAATTACAAGTTATAAAAAGAGTCCAATATTGATACACATATTTTTTCCTCTATCAAAATCTAATTATTTGGCCAAAATAAAATTTAAAATTAAACAATTTCACTTTAATCCCTCAACTTTCAAAATATAAATATAATATAGAAAAAATAATTTTTTTTATAAAATTTTCAGGGCATTATAGAGATTCAAAGACAAATCCATTTGAAGAGGAAGGGAATGACGAGATCCGTAGTATGAGAACTGGCAAGGACAAGAACCGTTGATCTTGGAAGAAGGACCAATGACTAGGTCACGAGTAAAAAAGGTCAAAGAAATCATGAGATTACTTGTTTAAACTACGGTAAATAAAATATCAATCACAACAAGCAAATGGAAAAGTTTCATATT